CGGAGACACACTAACAGGTAATTAGAAGGTGTTCTATTATTCACCGGAGTGTGATTTCCTGAACAGGTGGTTGGTAACCATGATACTGTACATTTCCAACATTTAAGCATTTGTTTCACTTAGCACTAATTTCTCAGGCTAAAGAACACACCACTAATCACATGCATCTAGTAGTAACTAAGGCAGATGCTTGATAATAGGTCAAATTAAATTATACTATATAACGGGTTTTCTCAAAAGTAAAGCAGTATCAGAAAAATAGGTTTTCTCTCTGTTTTCATGGTGATAGGTCTGGGACCAACATTTATTTTCAAGTAGCCTGTAGAATATGTCAATTTAAAAAGATTATAGCTATCATCAAGATCTGTCAAAGGACCTTGATCTGATTGTCATGAAAACAATGATTGATTTCAAAACATTTCAAAGTCAGTACATTAATTCCCAAATAACTTAATTTTATTATAATTAAAGATCAAGACATTTATCAATTAATCAATTTCCATTCTGGACAGTTAGCTTTCAACATGGAAATTAAGCACAGTTTACAAAACCCTTTTCTAAATTCAATTAACAACATTATCCTAACACAGAGATAGAATATCTTCTTTGGAGTTCTATTTTGTTGCCACCACTCAATAGAAATGTTCTAATATTTAAAATTCATGATATTTAAAATAAAAATACAGCATCAGCAAAATTTACAATTTTCCCCATTAGAAAGATTGAGTACTTAACCTATATTCCATTTTTAATATAACTTTTAGAGTATTCATTCAAAACTATTCAACTGATTTCATTTCTACATAGTTATTCAAAAAAAAAAAAAAAAAAAAACAACTTTTTTTTAGATTCATTAAACATATATATTTTGAAAGTTTAACGATAAATAGACTTTTCAAAGTGTTTATAAATATTGTTATGTAACACAAATGACTTGCCAATGACTTAAGATAGTCCCCAAAACCAAACTGGTAAAAAAATACATGAAAATTACTAATTTGGTCTATGACAAGGAAAATTGTAACCGTTTACCAAAAGTATTAAACAGACGGGGTTCCATTAGTAGATTTTCAGATATCTCATTAAAATCATTATAAATGTGTAAAATAGGAAATACCATCAGTAACACCAAATTGACGAGTTTTTCAGAGCTTTATTTTTTAATGCTGTGACTAATGCTTAAATATATATGGACTGACTGCACAAATATCTAATTATACTAATGTTTAACCCTCCCCAAAAACAAATATAAATAAGTAAAACCCTTGCTCTGTAATTTAGTTCAAAACTATAACTGTATGAGAAAACTAACATTGATCCATTGCTCAAATGCTTAAACACAATAAAGAGAATAAGAGAACACTGAAAAAAATAAATAAATAAAAAGCCTTCACAGCTCTGTCACTCACTTGTTGAAATAATTTAAAAGGCAGAAATTAAAGAAAAATAACTTGTCTAGAATAGGTCTTTAACCATATCAAAATGTGTTGTCTTGTGAAAAAAATTAAAATTTGACAATTCATTAAAAAAACCCAACAAACAAACAAACAAACAGAGCCGTTTTTATGATTTTTAATGTTAGATGACAAGTAAACATTTTAATAAGAGGGAGTCAACAGGGTGTTAGAAAACAAACTTTCATTGGCCACATCCTGCCAATGATCTATGATATACCAGCAGCCTATAAGAAACGTATATAACAGTATATACCACATATATAGCATGTTAGGGGTACCTGCATTTCAAACAGACTGTCTGGTTAACTTGTATACATAATACACATAAAGTTAAACATCGCCAAGGCACTACTACTTAGTTTTCAACTCTTGCTAAAAGTATAAAAATGTCGGCCGCGAGCAATATACTTATATTTACCCGCTTCTCTGACCAATGTTCTGCGCGTGTAAGCTTTCCATATGCTGTTACTGCCAGGCATACTGACAGAATCGCTCCTGATACACAGGTTCGCCACTTCATCCTCCTTCACGTCAGACTGCATATATGACCGAACAACAGCCAGCACTTGCCTACGCGGATCTTACTTCCGGCTGATACCTATCAATACGCATGTGCTGTGAAAGTACGTCAATCAGCTTCCTACGTGTTCCTTTAGTTGGTATATCGTGGAATAAAATTATGTACGTCAATATGATAGAAAGCATTTAATGACACATAACCTTTTTTTCCTGAGAATACCATACCTATTAGATGTTATTGAGAGGTGATAGACATCGTTAACTTAAAAATGAAAGGATGAGAGATATTTAGTGTAACACCACAGCAGACGAAAACGGTACCAGAAGTGTTCTGAACGTCGACAATGGATCCAAGACAAGGCAAAAATTGCATAAGGACAGACTAAAATTGCTTATATTGCTTATTAAATATATATATATAACCTACACTTTTGGGTAATATATAGGCCTATAAGCTGTAGGCTATAATTCATTTTTAATGTAGGGCCTACTGGCATATGAGAAATAAAACAGCTTAATCGTCTGGCACGCCCCCTCGCAAAGCAACATGAACAACATTGGACCACAAAGTTGTCCCGACTTAACCCAAGTATTTTAATTTACGAGGGGGTGCGCCAGACAATTAAGCTGATTACTTCGACTGCGCCGTAGCGAGAATCCCCGCTGGATAAATCAATCCTGCTAGTAGGCTACGAGAACTCCAATCTCACAGCCGTAGTTTCTCTTGTAAAGCTAGAGCCATTACAGCCAAAAATACCGTTGTAACCATAATCAAAACGGTTTTATCATTTTCTAATTACTACGACCACTTAAAATTTATATCTCATATAGGCTTTTCAACAGCACGTATCAGCTATCTTACCAGACTTAAATCAAGACCCTATCGGAAGCTCTTTAATCAGAGATGGATAAAGGCGTTTTCGTATCGCCTATTTCTCTGATGATTCAATTGATTGTTTTATGCGCAACACTCCATTCGCCTCAACTAATGCAACCAACTAAAAAAAATTACCCGTTTCTCCAAAATGTTGAAAAATAATAAGTTTACCGGGGATGTAGGGCCAACGTTACAAGTCCGTTGAAGGAATTTTGATTTGACGTGGGGAGGGGGGAGGGGTCTCATAAAAATAAACGTGGTCTTTTCACTCAGGTAAGCCATGCGGATGTTTTTGAATGGAAAACCCTTTAGACCTGAAGAATCTCTCTCTCTCTCTGTCTCTCTCCTAAAGTTCTGACGCCGTTTTTAAACAACAAAATGTTTGTAACACCTTAAGACGTTTGATTTTCCTTAAAAATTATCCCTATCATGTATCTATTTTTCGGCTCTCCATGAGAACTCGCTCAGAAAATTCTTTCAAGTATTTAAAAGAAAGACCGAAAGTAAATGGAACACTAGTCTTGAAAGTTTTACATTTCCTAGCACTTTTTTTCTGTTTATGTTGTTCACCCGACCTATCAAGCCGACCACCGGGCATCAACCATTAAGTTTGCTACAAGAAAAAAAAATACTTCATGCATGCAGATGCTCTGACTTTCTTGATTTGAGTCAGTCTGACAGACTTAATAGAGATCAATAATGATATTACCTATTTCACGTGGTTTAATTATCACCGCCTACGAAGTATAGACTAATTCTTCCAAGCTGTAATCGATTCTTTCTATTATACAATCAAATCAGGAAATTCATGAGATAAATTTCCATAAATTGGATATGTTGCTCGAAGACACGGACAATAATTGTCTATGTAAACGAAAAATAAATTTCCTTTAACATAAGTATAATAAGGCACTGGTACGACCAAATACATTGTAGAATACTGCTCTTATGACTACAGCACTTGATTATATAATGTATTAATGATCAAGTTTTAAAACAACTTTGTGAAAATATATTTGCAAATTATTTTTTGTAGTTTTACCGCCTCATTTAAACAATATATCGCTTGTTTATAGTCATTGCAAAAATGTAGGTCTATTTGTACCGAAATAGATAAATTATGATAATAAATGATAAGAACAATGATACAGTATTAAATAGCCTATGTTAAACATCCTTTGTCAAAATGAATAGAAAACAATTGTTTGTTGACATCTTTAGTGGCCTTATAGTTTAAATCTTTCCTTCCATCTAGACGTTTTGAAATGCTATGCTACCGGTAACTGACCAATTTTTTTCCTTGAATAATGATACCAGGTTTAATTCTTAGTTCTGTAAAGTAAAACACTGCCATTGCATGGCACACCCTTTTTATGCATTTTTATGGATTCCAGGAACAAGTCAAACCAGCTGTTGGGACTGTGCTCGTAATTACTATTGAAACATCGAACAGCCATGATTATCCTCTACCCGGGGAACGGGGGTGCAGGGGCGGGTTGAGGCCGTCTTCTGGGTCTTCCGGAAGACGGTCAGATTTTCAAGTTTACATTGACGGGTAGGCCTATCTAACTTTTTTTCTGTCAGAAGACGGTCAAAAATGGAGGATGGATCAACAAAGATAAATTGGAAGACTGTCAGAAAATATCTCTGGATTCGCCCCTGGGATACATGGGAACTTTATAAATAAGCCCTTCTAGTTTTTTTATATGATAAAAAGAGGACGGACCTACATAGGCCACAGTAGAACAATTTGAAAAGTTTGTTAACAAGCGCGTCTGGGTCTTATTTGAAGGAAATATTTTTCACGACCCTTTTTCTGAAAATGCAAAAATATATTGGGTATTGGATTGATATATGGGAAAATTTACAATTGGCCAAAGGAAATACTTACTGATGTTGTTTTATGCACTATAATCGAATTCACTGTAGATTTGACAAAAAAAAAAAAAAGAGGCCGACCTTAAAATTTGCTATGCTTGTTTAAATTTTAGCTGCTATGACTTTTGCTATGTCTAAAACAAACAAAAAATGAAATTAAATGCAATACTGAGGTTATCCGCTCGAGTACCTATACAGGTCTCGGCGTCTGGGAGATTTTTCATGATAAGGAAAAGACGACATTGTCTTGTCTTGGCGTCTTCTGCCCTCTCGTGCCAAAATCCACTTCCGGGCCATGTTGTCACTCCAGTAATGTGTTCATGTTTTGTAAACTCCGTAAACTGAGCCTGGACTATGATCTGTGCAGAATGAACATATTATGAAAACAGGTAAGGTTATGTATAATTTAAGATTAGGAGTTGACTGCATTACAGCATTGGTTGTCAAATAACTTGTTCAAGGAAAAGCTTTCAATTACGCTCTGACCATAAATTCAGCTGGTCTGTGAAATTAAAGGTACCATCATCAGCAACAAATAATATATGATGCTATATAATAACAATTCTTCATCATATTAGTGCATCATTAAAGTGTTGGTATTAGGTTATGTGCGTCCATTTTGGAGAGATTGTGGTGCTGCATGCACTATATAATTATAATTGTTTGAAGATCGAGCAACAATATTGTCTTGTTCACAAATTAGGTATGTTATTTAATGCATTTTAGCTGGACGGTATATCTTGCTTTACCCCCCCCCCCCTCCAACTTACCAAATGCTCATTCATTGAAGAAACCAAAATAATTACAAAGATAACTTTTGATAACATTGGGGTGTATTATGTCTGTCCACAAAAGGGGAAGACTGGCAAGTCAAGATCGAGTTACACTTACTAGTACATATGTATGTCTTACTGTATTTTGCCTCATGAGATTTGTGACTATATCCATAAATATGACATAGATTGACATATACAGATAAATAACAGCAGACCACAATTTTTAGTGACTGAATGAATAAATCAACATTTTATAAGGAGAACATTTTTAAATATTCTGATTGGCATTGGCTGATACTTGAACAAAGTGTGGCAATTTATTCTAATTGTACTTTAAAAATCACACCAGTTCAATCTGGGCTGTGACAGCTGGGGTTATCTAACCACATCCTCTTTGAACAATGTCACTGATTTTGTTGGTTAGAATGATGATAAACAGATTTAATATTATGTGTCCCACCCCCTCCCCCAGCAACAAAAATGAAAAAAAAAAAAAAAATGTGTGGAGAATGATGTTATACTTTGCAATCTAATTGTTTAAGTTGGTTTGCCCAGAGCTATGTGATGTCCAGAGGTTGGTGGTGTCTGTCAATGGGTAATTTAATAGAGATAGCAACTAATTTGAGAGTAACTAATTGCATATTTAAGATGGCATTGTGAAATCCTAAGTTGCATTTAAGAGGCACACGAAGAGCAAAAAGGGCCTCCAAATAAATAATGTTCATTGGAATGAGGTTTCATTAGAAAAAGAGGAGATTGTACTTTTGACTAAAATAGAACTATATATGTATTGTGAATATATGAAATAAATGCTGTTAAATAACTGTTTATTCTAATTATTATCCACAGGTACAAAAAGGTAAAGGGGTGTGTCAACTGGATTTGAGGTGTGAAAGAGAAAAGAAAACACAGTGAGTATATAATTTGTTTGACCTGTGACTTCTTATTTCAGATGTTCTGCACACAAGAACGTCAGTTCCTTTGCATACATTAGTAACACTGGCTCATTTTTATACAGATACATGGTATTATATCTTACATTCAGCAAAAGTCATAAATATAACAGATTTTGAAAATATTTATATAATCACATATTTCAAACCGAAATGGTACACCAAGCAAAACCTGGTAAATGTATAAGTTGTCTCCTTTTTTGT